CTCTGAAATCTCATTGGAATGTAGAAATCCAGAGCTGGGTCTAGCAAAAAGTCCTTTTGTAGACAGGCTTATATTGAATGCAAGCAGAGATTAATTCTGTTCTGCCTGTTCCTCTACCCTGCAACATGGCAAAAAGAGATTTGTGGTAAGCTATTTGTTTCGACTATTGCAACATCAGGTAATTTGCTAGAGTAGTAAGCACTGAAACAGAAGTACATTTCATTGGTTATGTTTGTTTAAATTTAAATCTAATATTTAATGGCAAAGTATTATGCTAATTGGGTTGCCGCTACCAATCTTGGAAATAAACGGCCTGATGACCTGGCTTGGCTTTGCAGTGTCCTAACTCATTAATTTGAGGGGGGGGAGAGGGGGAGACAGAGGGAGAGAGGGGGAGACAGAGGGAGAGAGGGAGGGAAAGAGAGAGAGAGAGAGGAGGAGGGAGGGTGGGAAAGAGAGTGAGAGAGAGAGAGCTCCAACTATGTGGGGAATATTCATGATATTATCTGGCCTAAAGAGTGGATTCAGTATAAAAAATATCTAGAGAGGGGAAATAACCTAGGTTTTAAGGGCACAAAAACAGATTTAAAACAGAATGACGATACCACCCAAGCTTTAAATCTTTTTTTCCTGATCTTCTTTGGCCACGGCTTCATCACTAGAATATGTGTTTGTTCCATGCCTTTGGAAATGTTCCCTCATAATGTTATCTGAGATGTCCTGTATTCTCATGCAGACAAAAGAAAGGGAGGGAGGGAGGGATTTGAACTTAATTAGGCCACTGCAAAGTAAAGCCAGGTCATCCATCTATCTATCTATCTATCTATCTATCTATCTATCTATCTATCTATCTATCTATCTATCTATCTATCTATCCACCCGTCCAACAATAAAAGGAGACAACTTCTGGTAAGAGAGGCCAGTAAGGTTTAATTCCTGTAGCATTTGTTAAATAAATGAATGATCAGAAAGTATCGGACACTAATGTTTCTAATAATTAGTGAGCTTGTGCAAAAAATGAACAATTCTTCCATGTCTGCTTGCCTATCATCCATGTCTGTCTGTCTAATCTATCGTGGAACAAGGAGTCTGGTGGATGGAAAGAGAGAAGCTATAAAAACAGCTCTGTCGGAGAGCACCAGAACTGCTTCTCAGCTACTGTTTGTAGTATGTACTTTTAAATTTTAAGCCTTGCTCAAAATCCCTTAATGGAATTTGAAGTGGCATCCATTTTACATATTCATGAATTTCTAGATATTTATTTGTTGATAAAAGGAAATAAAAAGGGGAAAGCAAATTTAACAGCACCTAAAATACTTAAAGTGGAAAAAAGTAAACTAAGTAATAATACTTTAAAAAAGGAAATCATTTCTGTCTCTCCCCTTTTTATACAATTGCTGATTTGCTATATTTGCTAGCATTTAGGCCTTGTTTAAAGCCAGATTGTATATTTTTATATTGGATGTATTTTATTCATGGGAACCATTCTTGTTCAAATTTGATTATATTTCTATTGTACAAGTTTACATACTATTAGTTTTGTATATTGTATATGTATGTTCTCCAAATTTAAGTGTCCAATCGAATAGATCATGTGAAATGTTAATAATATCATTTTATAATGCCTTGGTAAGACCACACTTAGAATATTGCATCCATGATATAAAAACGATGAGACGTATTGTTAAGTTCGGAAAGAAGGGAGGCCACACCAGAGCTTCAGTCATAACACACGCTTTATTCATGGGAATAAAGGGGGCTGTCGCGTCTGCAGCTAACAGCAGACCTACCAGCGAACAGCAGCTGGCTCAACCTAGCAGCTGGCTTTTATAGCCGACTGTCGAAGGGAGCCAGCCAATGGGGACTAAGAACGCCCCCGTAGGAATTGCGGACCTGATGGAGAACTGGTGTCAGCCCCAAGGACATAACACGTATGTTGAGATGTTGAGACTCTACAAAGAGTGCAGAGAAGAGCAACAAAGATGATTAGGGGACTGGAGACTAAAACATATGAAGAACAGTTGCAGGAACCGGGTATGTCTAGTCTAATGAAAAGAAGGACTAGGGGAGACATGATAGCAGTGTTCCAATATCTCAGGGGCTGCCACAAAGAAGAGGGGCGGGTGTCAACCCATTCACAAAAGCTCTGAAGGCAGGACAAGAAGCCATGGATGGAAACTAATCAAGGAGAGAAACAATTTGGAACTAAAGAGAAATTTCCTGACAATTAGAACAAAATATCAGCGGATCAACATGTCTCCAAAAGTTGTGGGTGCTCCAACATTGGATGTTTTAAAGAAGAGATTGGACAACCATTTGTCTGAAAATGTGTAGGTTCCCTGCTTGAGCAGAAGGTTGGACTGGAAGACCTCTACAGTCCTTTCAAACTCTGTGTCGGGCTCCGAGTTCACTTGGACCCCGTCAACTCCAAATATGCCCCACAGCAAGTCAGCTGGCCATGTCACTTTATCTCTGCTGCTGCCGGATCTGTATTTCTGCTTGTGTGCTGGCTGATGGCTTTGGAATGGCTCAGCAGAGCTGAGGATGGATTCTGAAACAACTGCAGGGCTGCAGGATGGATTCTGCAACAACTGCAGGGCTGCAGGATGGATTCTGAAGCAACTGTGGGGATGGAGGATGGATTCTGCAACAACTGCAGGGCTGCAGGATGGAGTCTGAAGCAACTGTAGGGCTGGAAATGGCTCTTTTCATGTATTGATGTGGTGCATATTGTTAAAGGGGGTTGGGGCACATATAGGTGGTAATTAAGCCTTAATTAAGCCTTAGGTTAAAACATGGTGAAGGTGGCACCAAGTGGGGATCAGTTAGTGAGGGTTGGAATAGGGTAGGGATGTAGACATGTTATAGGGTTAATAGCATTTAGGGATAATGGGTTAGGTGTGGCCAGAACTAGAACTGCGTATAGGCATGGATGTGGTAGGGTGTGTCTCATGATAATGGTAATAAAAGGAAAGGGAGCGAACTCAAACCCAACTCTAACCTTGCCTGGCTTTTAGCCATTCTTGTCTGATTAGAGTATTTATTGTTTGATGCTATGTTGAATAAACCATCATTGTCCTAAAGAGGAGCTGGAGTTTGGATTCATTTAAATACAAAGCTTCAATACTCAAGGACTGCCTGAAACTCTGTTATTCTGTTAAATATTGCTAAGTTCATGTTTTTTCTTCTAAAACTGAACGAAATTTATTTTTACTGCTTTAAGCATATATATCTCATTAAATTATGAAACTTCTCGTTAATATTTTTCTAAGATTATACCTAATAAGAGTTGTTGTTCTTTCCAATTGTTCGTTTCCAATTTAATTTCGAACTTTTCTGTGTTATATACTTATGACTTCTTTTACATGCCCAGCATATATGATAAAATATTCCTTCGGCATCTTGACACTTCCAACATTTATTACTGTATGATTTGTCCATCTCAGTTACTGTTGATGGAACTGTGAATCAATTTCTAAAACATTTTGAACCATATTTCCTTTAATTTATTACTAGGTGTAAATTTTATAGATGTAATCCATATTCTTCCAATTACTGCACTCTTTCTTGAATTTCTGCATCCATTTTATAAAGTCATAAAACTTTTGATTTGTTATATCTCTGTACCAAATCTAAGTAAAAATATGTAAACATTTCTAAACTCATGGGAATATAGACTAAAGTCCCTACTGATATCCTATTCCTATTTTATCTATTTTTTTTAAAGGGCATATATCCCAAACACTTGAGAGAAATTGTTGTGGTCCACCAGCAGCTGATGCAGACAGCAGCAGAGTCAGACAGTGAGGATAAAAGGGAACCAGTCAGGGAGTCTGGTGAGGATTCAGACAAGGGTCCTGCGTCCGACGCAGGGATGGGGCCAGGACCATCTGGGAGTGGGGTGCTGCCTTTGGAGCCTTCAGAGTCTGGCAGCAGCAAGGAAGAGGAACCAGGGGAGCCTGTTCCCAGTGCGCATGTGTGCAGAGCTGCTGGATGGCGAGAGCTACTGAAGAAGAAGGGGCGATTCGGGAGTAAGATTGGGAGGTGATTGCCCCTCCCATAAGTGATAAAAGTCAATGATGAACGCTTTGCAGGAAGCAAAGCAGTTCAGTTAGATTCTGAATCCTTCTTGAAGCTCTGCGTACTCTGGTCAGTTTTTTCTGATACTTGGGGGGGGAGGGTTTTGTTATAATTACTTTGAAGACTTCTGTTTTTGGCAGCATTCCACAGCACTGATACATGTGGGCTTATCTTGGGGAACTGTGTTTAATTGGTTCTGGTTGGGAATGCAAGTAATTCCCAGCATTGCAATAAAATAGGTTTTTGCTTTTAAAATAAGTTTGTGTTTAAGTATGTTTGACGAACCCTGGGTCAGAACAGAAATACTGGAAAAGACCTGTGATGCTGAAATGAGAGATGGGCTGGCAATGCAGCCCCTGAAAATAAATGTCTGTGTGGCTATCTATAATAAGAGTGCTATTTCAGAGATTGGTTCCTTTCAAATTGCCAAGGCTTGAGTTATGATTAAAGCTGGTGCCTGTCATCTAATAGGCTTCACATTTTACTTTATTTTCCATTGCTGGGTTCTTATGTGACCTCAACCAAGGCCAACTTTCTGTACTGTGGGGAATTCAATAGCAATGCTAATCAAAAGGTGAGGTTTAATTTATCTGGCACTGGAAGCATTAGGAATATTAATAAATACCACCCTCAGAGGAAGAATGAAAGGTAATAGACATTATTTCAATATTTCATGATATACTAGCCATTAAAGTGCACAAAAATTAACCTACAGCAGGGGTGAACTAGTTTGGTGTAGGCAGTTAAGGCACTGGGCTAGAAAACAGCAGGATGTGAGTTCTAGTCCTGGTTTGGATAGGAAGCCAGCTGGGTGGCACTGGGCCAGTCATTCTCTCAGCCCTAAGAAGGAGGCAATGGCAAACCACTTTTATAATCTTGCCAAGAAAATTGCAAGGACTTTTCCAGGCAATCACCAGGAGACAAAACTGACTTGAAGGTATCAAAATACAAGGAAGGAAGGAAGGAAAGGGCAAACGTAGGTACGCCTATGATATGTTGGTTGCCATATCATATTTCTGCAGCCACTAGAGCCTCCAGATCAAGATCAAGGACAAAGTGATAAACAGTGAAGATGCAACTGAAGGTTTTTTTTTTTTTACTATAAAAGAAGAAAAACAAGCCAAAGACAATAAAACATATGAAATCCCCTAATTTCTCAATGCCTGAAAAACATAGGCCTTCTGACTCCATATCACAAAGTGCAATCTCACCAAAAATACGGCCCCTGTCACCGAAGTGTCGCATGGCGCCTAGTCCTTTGGCTCAGATGGTGCAACGACGCATTGCACTTGCACTCCTCCCAAAGTAGTTACTTTTCATAGGAAAACAAAATCAGCTTCTGAAGGAATAATCTGATGGCGGGCAGAAAAGATGCAGGGCGAAATGATGGCATTTATGCATTTCTTTGCCTGCCAAGAGGCATTTGATAGCTTCTGTTTGTTAGTTACTGATAATATACACTTTTATTCTTGTTTGCTTATGGAGTTTGCAATTGCAGCAGGTGCATTCAAGTTTTATTTTACTTTTGACAAACCTTTTTGGAAGTACAAACGTAAAATAAGACATTGGAACGATGTTGGAGGGAGGAGAAATAAGACAACAGCTTACAGTTTCTAAAATATGTACTGAAAGGATGGATGGATGGATGGATGGATGGATGGGTGGATGATAGACAGACAGACAGACAGACAGACAGACGATAGGCAGGCAGGCAGCCACTCACGGAAGAATTGTTCATTTTCACACAAATTCACTAATCATTAGTATCCCATATTTTCTGATCATTCATTTATTTAACAAATGCTACAGGAATTAAATCTTATTGGACTCCCTTATTAGAAGTTGTCTTACTCTTTTATTGCTGTACCTGACTTCCTGTGTGAGCTGTGTAATACAGGCTAATTAGTAATAATTATCACAATAAGAGAGCACCAAAAACAGATCCAGTACCCTCATGTTGGTGGGCATATCCTTTTTAAATGTGGCTGTCTTCCCTATAATTTTAAAGTATCTTCCCTGCATGGGGTCTGAACTCGTTTTCAGCTGATTTCCATCTTGCTTTTGTTCCAGTTCTCATTTGTAGGAAGCCTTACCGCATTCTGCCTACTGATTCCTGCAGAATGGGACAACTTACCATGGTCGATTCACCACAGCCAACTCTCCACGGCCAACATGTCAACTTGCTGTGGGACAATTGGCCATGGCCAACTCACCACAGGGATCACTTGCCATAGAACAATTGAACGTGGGTTAACTCCCAAGAGTAGGACAAGTGAATTGCAGCTCACCCCAGCCTCAAGGACTTCTAACTTGAGAAGGCTCAAATCAAGCAAGACAAGGCCCACTACAATTCACTTAGTTTAGTTTTAGTTTAGTTTAGTTTATTGTCATTGCACCCCGTACAATGAAATTAAATACCATCTTCAATGTACATTATGATGATGAAAATAAACACAAACACACCCCCTTCACATTTCATACATTGAATTGAAAACCCCTGACATTGCATTAATATTGCACTATGCAGTAGAATTCAACAGAGCTACTGCCCTGGGATAGAAGCTGTTTTTCAGCCTATTTGTCCTTGTTTTTATTATCCTGTACCGTCTGCCAGATGGTAATAGTTCAAAAAAAGAGGGTGCCCAGGATGAGACGGATCTTTGAGAGTTTGTCCCTGTCTTGAGTTATCCTGTGTTGAATTGTCCCATGGCAAATTTTCCTGTGGCAAATTGGGCAGGGAAACTTGGCTGGAGTGAGTCGGCTGGGGTAAATGAACCAAGAGGAAGTCATCCAAGGCCCAATTCCTGAGTTGTAATTGGACTATTAGATCTTGCAAAAATAAATAAATAAAATACAAAAGGTCTTTTTTAGCATCCCTCTCCCCAGTGATGTTTTTGTTTTCATAGACAGCCACATAAATAAACACTACATGAAATAAGTTAATTTATACAAAGGCTTTTTTAGAAATAAAAGTGACACTGCCAAAGCCAATTTCCCAAGTAATTTGTCGCTTTAAATGAAAAATCATAAATCACTTTAAAGAATGAGAGCATCTGCTGTGTACCATGGCTGGTGCCGGAACGACATATTCCCAATACAAATATCAATTTCCAGTGTCTGGTATTAAACTTGACTGCATAGGAGGATTGTTCTGTGATCAAATTTCTAGTTATGAAGGGTTAGAAGATTCTTAAGAATTTGAGAAGACGAGATTGTACTACACAGTTTAAAGAGAACTTAACAGGAACTTAAAAATAAATCTCTCTTTTGCAACTGGCTTATTGGGTTTTAATATAAGCATTCTCTTATAATAGTGATCTTGACTTCAAAGCATTTCTTCTGGAGCTCTGCTGATTACATTTTTAAAAGGCCTTATTCAGCACGATCAAAAGCTTTTCTAATTAAATTTTATTACAAAAAAGCAGGGTGGATGAGAAGTCCTCTGAAATCCCCCATTTCTTTCCTAAATACAGATTCCTTTAAAAAAAAATGAAACAAGATAGTTTGGAACTCAAAGAATAAAGCGCCAAAAGAAAAAAGTAATAAAAATATGACAACCACCTGATCTTAAAGATTTTTGTTCAGAAATGGTCTCTTTGAGTTTATAGCATCTGAAGGATGTGGATCAAAGAAATATTATTTTGAATTTTTTTCAATAATTTATAGTATGTATAACAAGGAGGTGGGGGTTGGATTGGATGTCCAGGAGAGTTCCTTCTTTGCTAAAATGCTTGCTCATAACACTTACGTTGAAACACTTGTTTAAGCTGAAAAACCTGTAACCACAAATATTTCCTACCCGGCTGCTTGCTGTAAGGTTTCCTGTTTCGATAGAATACTTGAACCGCAATTTCAAAAGGACATTCACTATAAATTGTATTGAAAAAGGAACTGCCTTGCTCTTCTGACTCCAACTCACCAAAGAGGGATTCAGAATTGCCTGCTTTTGCAAAAGTATAATAAAATTCTTGTTTGTTGACTTTATCTCATCCTGAAAATTTGTTAAGAATTTGGGATCACCTAAATCTGACAAACTTGGTGCCCAACGTGGGGCTCGAGAGTTGCCTTTTCCGGCTTTTCCTGGAATGGGAAGCAGGCCAGTCGCCTCGTTGTTGACTGCCTGTTCTAAACACCACCTTGGACTTTGTTGTACATAAATTCAAGGCAGGACAGTGGGTTCTAGTTAAATCTTGGAAGGAAGAAAAACTGACTCCGGTGCAGGAAGGACTTTTCTTAATTCTACTCACCACTGAAACAGCTGTCCATGCAAAAGAAAAAAGGGTGGACACATTTCTCAAGGCTTAAAGGGCCCGTGCCAGCTCCAACGGAGTGGAGAGTGGAGTCTCACCAAGGAGATCCACTCAAGATCACACTCCGAAAGAGTTAAATGAGCTGGTGGGCAACACCTTTGCCCTTAGTGGTGATAATACTGATTATTGATGGATTGTATATTATTTTTTCTATTTAGGAAAGAGTGGCTGCCGATGTTATTTCCACAATTTAAAATAACCAACATTGAACAGATTCCACTGCCAAATCTACCTGATGTGTTAGCTTTGTAAGAATATTGAATGTTTGAATGGTGGGTGTTTGCTGTGTGGATTATATTGTGTACACTGGAATTTTGGTTTTATTATTGGGCAAATAGACAACTTTATTGTAGGATTACAGGACCAGATCCAACTCCTGTAGGGTTTAGCAGTCTGAATGAGTTAATTTTGCTATTGTTTGTGTGACGCCACTCCTTACTGTTGTTGTTGTTATCATTGTCCTGATTGTGAGCCAGTACATACATACGGAGTGTGCTTATACATATGGTTCATGTGATAGGGAATATGGATTGCAAACAGAGGTTGGTCCACTTCCTGTGGTGTTGCCTATTAATGACCAAAGTCATCCTAAGCAAGGACTTTGAGTGTTGCCAGGAGGTAGTGGGAGCACATTGGTGGGCCTGGAATATACAAAATATTCCCTTATGGGACCATATATCATGGAATTCCACATGAGAACATAGGAAGGATTGGTGAGATGAGTACATACAGGGGTGAACAGGTACGTGAAATTACGCTGAGGACTTTTACAATCAAAAGCAATAAAAGGAATTAGGTTACCTCCTTTTGAAATGATGTTTGGAAGACCCCCTGTCATAAGTACTAGTTTGAGAAATAATATAGAGGATTTAAGTCAATTAGGGGGTTCATGGGTGAGTCTAATGAGTGGTACACTTGAAGAAGCGCCCCCTATAACTGCCCTACCGGCAATGGGCAGGCAACATACGGGGCAGAAGAGGCCTTACTGGGGTCACTCCGGAAGCTGACCCTCTACATACGGCTGAAAATAAGAACAAGTAAAACAGATGTTAATGTGTTAGGGATAGTGTTAAGTTTGAGCAATGAGAGGCTGAACCAGAGCATGAGTGCAACAATACTTTATTATAACAATAAAGGGCTGACCGTGCTTGCCACGCCTGGAACTGGCTCGCAGCAATCAGCAACTGGTTGGACCCCGCAGCCTGCTTTTATAGCTGGCTGCTGGGGAGAACCAACCAATGAGGAAAGGGGGAAGAACGCCCACACAAGTGAGTGGACCTGAGTGAGAACTCCTAGAGTTCTCAGGACATAACAGATAGAGTGTGTGGTAGAAAGATATATTCTTTTGAATTCTTTTAAAGGGTTTTATGTATCAAAAACGGGGTTGGACTAGATGACCTAGAGGGGTCCCAAATTTTAAAAGCTAATATGTTTAAAGTGCTTATGTGAGTTGAAGAAACCACAAAATGTTTCTTGCTCAGTTGCCCGGCTAAGAGTTTCCTGTTCGAGGTGGTCAAACTTCCCTGTCTCGATAGAATACCTAAACCGCAAATGTGCTTCAAAAGTAAAGGAAGCTCTTTTGACTTCGACTTACCTGAGAAGGATTTCAAAATGTC